CAAAGGACCAATGAAACTGAAGAATAGTGTCCCTACCAAAGTTGAAATCAAACCTACGCCCTTGATAGTAATCATTAAATATTTTAGATTTGAAGGCAGTCACAAGCATAGCATTATTAAATTTTATTTTTTCCAGTCACAAAATATTCTCCAATTTTCAATTTGGGTAAAAATGGAGTCACATTTGAATATCTTAAGGTGTTTTGGATGAGCTTGATCAGAGCTACAGGAATAGCTTTGCATACTTTTAGGTATCCAGTACAAGTACAGAACAGATTAAATTTGTTGGTAAAATATCTATGTCCATTAAGTCAGTTACAAATAAAATATCTTTTTCATATCAGTCAGTTTTAAACATAGATTTTCTTTTTATTAATATTGATCCGTTATTCCGTACCACGGATCCATGAGGGGTGAAGTTGTGAGCAACAATATCAGAGATGTGTGCTCAGGGATGAAAAAGATCACTGATCAGACTGATGGAAGTCTGGTCTTAGCTAAAAATCAATACATTCTTTAACAGGTTCAGGAACAAGCTCAGCACCCTCTCTCTTGTCCACATGGACATCCTGCCCTCCTCTGCCATTGACTATCCTGCTTCTATTTGTTGTCCACCAAATCAGAAGATGGTGCTGGTCCCTCCACCTTTCACCTGTCTGTCGCTAGAAGTCAAGTGAAGGGGTAAATTAGACTAAATTGTAATAAGTCACCAGGGTCCTGAAGGGCTGCGCTGAGCAGCTGGCATATGTGTGGAGAATGCATTTTGAGGGGAAGCACAATTTCTTTTTAAAAATGTGTTGCACAACACTGATAATTATAAGAATCTGCATATACCTTGGCTGTAAGACACCAGAAGATGACGGCTTTTTATTAAGACTCCTTAAGTCTTGGTCACATCTTTCTCTGTTAGTTTTCAGAGTTTCCCTACATCAGTGAAAAGCTAAGCAAAGCACAAGGCTGGTTCCCTCTTCTGCTTTTGCACATGGTGTTAAATACAGCACAAATATGGTAACTTAAGTGGAAGTAGCTCAGGTCTCCCTGAGTTTAGGAAAAAAGACACACTGCTGTCACCAACACAGAAGTCCTGTTTGTCTTCAGGGTTTTGCATGGTACAGCATGTCGAACATTTATTTTCCTAGTGTTGTGCCCAAGTAGTGGTAAGGTCGTTCACTGTCACCTAGTTGTTTGGAATCATGTTCAAGCGGCAGTACGACCTCATTCTCATTTATAAAAATCAATCCTTTGATAACGCCTTCTGTAACTCTGATATATAAGATTTGCCAGCTACAAGAGCTACTGTCAAGGTCATTCCACTGCTTGTGTTATCACTGCCATTACAAGTGCAACTGGTGCCTCCTGTGCCTTGGATGTCCTCACGCTTCACAACAATGAGACAAGCACCATAGCCAGAGTTTTATGACATTTCTAATTTCTTGGCTTATGTCAAAAATAGACAGAAACAGGCTCATCTGGCACATGTATGATACGGAACACACTGGAATCCACCAGAAAAAGTGAAATATTGTATTCTTGAAAAGCTTGTCCCTCAAAAACTGGCCTTCATACCTAGTAAACAGTGGCTCTTATCTCCATACAGTGGCAATGGCTCATGTTAATTGGACCAATACATTTCAGTAACCATTGAGCTCCAAGGGTGTTGTT